TGCATAGTTGCAGTACAAACTAAAAACATATATGTAATCTAGTTGTGTACTCAAAGTTTACTACTGTTATACTTAAAGTATACTTAAAAGTATACTTTTATATACTAGAAAGTGGGTCAATTTAGTCCCAAGGAGTATTGAAATAGTACACTTACAAGTATACTACTAGTGCACTGATATTTGTATACTTACTACATAAAGTATACTTAAAAATATACTTGAACTTTACTTAAGTATACTTAAAATAAACTTGAAGTATAGTTCTTTTTGGTAAGGGGTGTTTCCAAACGTCTGCAGAATCTGATCTTATCTATCAAACAACTTGAACAAAACATGAACTGCAGCAAACCAGTTTAGATTCATCAGTATCTGTTCACTTCAGTCACTTAAATTTGTGTGAATGTGATTCAACGGATCAAGTGTCTGTATCTGCAGGAATTTTTCTCTTATACCACTTTCCTTCATTAAGTCTGAAGTCTCAATATATTTGAATCCACTGGTGTTTGGGTGATTTTTAGTGAATGTATGAAGTCAGTTCTGCTCAAATTCAGAGAATCACGTTAACTAACAAACGCAGTCTTCATCTTCAACACTACATCTATTGGTTTAGCATTTCAAAACCAACAAACTTCTGTCTGTTAAATGTTCTGCACTTCAAAAAAAATTGTAAACAAAGATTGCTGAAGTACATTTTACAAGAAGATGCTATTTCGGTATTTCTACTTCAAAATAGTTTTGAATTCAATGTTTTACTTGCCGTTTCTTTCTGAAATTTACTAGCAATTTCTGAGTGAAAATTGTTTCAAATTGTTTCTACACCAGTTTTTAGTGTTATTATAAAGTGTTTTTATTCACAATAAGTGACACACGGTTTGATATGTAATGACATGTAAGTGTGTCTGAAGTAAACAGATAATTTTGAGGCTGCTGTATGTTTTCTTTAGACCATCATGGCATGTTTGATGTGCTGTTTCTCTGTGTTTCAGGGTTCCTCACACTGGATTCTAGATGTTTCTTCTTCAATGCTCCCAGATGCTTCTAGTGTTCGATTCAAGGATATTTTCAGGGTATATTTCAAGGCAAGACACCCCAGGTGAATAGGGTAAAAAATTAACTAATACACATCATCATACTTCCCCAGTTGATTGATGACATTAAGAATTGCACACATTTTATTATTACAAGTTTTCTGAGATTTTATGTGTGCAAACAAGAAAATATTGTTTTCAAATACATATGCACTGATTTTCCAAAATATAAATATGAACATTGGATAAAGGCAGGTTGAAAATTCTTGCTTGATTTTCTTGACATATTAGAGTTGACATAAGATTTTTACAAAAGGGATTTTTTTGTTATCTTTTTATCACTCCATAAATCAGAAAATACTGTCAACAGACAGAAAACAACTACATTTTTCGCAATGTTTTTTTTTTAATAAACTGCAAATCAGTGTGAATTATATATGAACAAACCCTTCAGTAAAATCCTTCAGAATATAAATAGGAATAAAACTCTAAGTTTTGGTGTTTGTAAGTGCTACTGAAGTGGAGAAAAAACTCATCATGTTTAAAGATTTCTATTTTCGCCATGCTTTTAGGAATAAATTGTTATATAAATCAGTGTGAATGATATATGAACAAACCCCTCAGTAAAAACCTTCAGAATATAGAGAGGAATAAAACCCTAAGTTTTGGTGTTTGTAAGTGCTACAGAAGTGGAGAAAAAACTCATCATGTTTAAAGATTTCTATTTTCGCCATGCTTTTAGGAATAAATTGTTATATAAATCAGTGTGAATGATATATGAACAAACCCCTCAGTAAAAACCTTCAGATTATAGAGAGGAATAATTAAGTTTTGGTGTTTGTAAGTGCTGCAGAAGTGGAGAAAAAACTCATCATGTTTAAAGATTTCTATTTTCGCCATGCTTTTAGGAATAAATTGTTATATAATTCAGTGTGAATGATATATGAACAAACCCCTCAGTAAAAACCTTCAGAATATAGAGAGGAATAAAACTCTAA